GAAGAGGAGGAGGGGGAGGAGGCGAAGGAGGGGGAGGAGGGGGCGGAAGAAAAAGAGAGCTGGTGGACCCGAGTATTTTGCCAGCCCAACCAGACGCCAGCCGTGCACATTCGCACACGATGAAGCACATGCAGTTGCTGCTTTCTCTTGGGTCATACAGTCATGCACTCGTCGCTTCGGTGCAGTCATGCAGTTGTCGCTTTCTCTTGGGGTTGGGAGAGGGCTTAAGCAAACAGTCTACGATCTGGTGGCCGAACGGCTGCTCTCCTTCGCGCGCATGGCCTTCACCATGGCGGTGCAGTGCAACCCGTATTGCTGCAACTCCATGCAGGGAGGCTCAGGTGTCGCGGAGGAGTTCCCCAGAAGAGACGGTATCGCTTTGATTGGGACGCAGTGGCAGAGCAGACGTGGGTTGATGGAGCATGAGGTCCATGCGCAGCATAACTTTCTTGCTTCAATATTGGAAGTTTCTCGAATCGAAGTTGTGATACCTCCGTTCATGTGGAGAGGGTCTAGGTTTCGCGAGCCTTGTCCGTGCATTCTTCGAGGTTCCATCAACGTTGTGAGGGAGGTGTGCATCTATGAGAACCCAGCAGGGCCGACATCAGCCTGTTCTAGGTGGGATGTATTTCCGTGGGTGGCACACTACGACGTGGAAACTATAACCAGGAGCGCACCGTCGCACATGTGGTCCAGTGGCTGAGTGAACCCGTGCGCGATCCCACTGTGCACGTCACAATTTTGGTTTCCGCGATTTGAGTAATGGCTAGCAGCAGGGCCCAGACACGATACGCTGTGGCAGACACGCCACTGGGGCTGAGCACAATACAGCACGTCAGCCCAATCCGTTACTGGATGTAACGTGTATCGCGAGTGTTGGGTTGCAGTTTCTGGTGGCGCTTAACTAGTGGGGAGAAGTCCGTTTAATAACATTGGATCGTATACTTGGTTGGCACGCTATAAAGCTGGAGCGGCAGAATAGGTTAACACACTGGTAGCATCTGGAAGGCGACCTCAATTTGAGTATGCCAGGGGGGGCCTTCGACCATAGACCAATCTAGATTACAGCTGTGATTGACCTTATGACCAAGTTGAGAGGCCGAGCCAAGTTGTCTTTAGGAACAGGTCACATGCGACAGGTTCCTTTTCGAACGTCCACCTGTCCATCGGGTAACGAAAGGCTTGAATGTCAGCTGTGTTCGTACCAAGGCACGGTGGAAGGCATGCCGATTTAAACGCTCGAATTTCCCAACGCAGCGGCGCGGACTGTGTCAAGCAGGTCCCGTACTTCATTGAGCAGCACAGGGGAGTATTTCAGCCAGGCCGGAGAAGCATTTGCCGTTAGCAGGCAAGCACGGTTCATTGTCATGCTGAGCTGTGGACACCCGATGACGGGCCGGATATTGATCTGTAGTTCACGAGGGCTAGCCGCAATATTCGTCGTGCGGGATTCGCTTGTTGGAGAATTGTCACATACAAGGGATGGTGGAGATGGTCGGTAAAGCCATGACGCAGGGAGACGCCCGTACGGTTTTCAATCGACGCTACTGGTATTTGTTGGCAGACGTTGTGGGCTTCGACGGTGCTGATCTCGGCTAGTAGCGGTCTCTTGAACGACGGCCAGGCAATGGCAAACGCGCATGGGACTTACTGTCCGGCGAAGATGGTGTGCAGCAGCCGACGCCGCGCGCGAAGAGCTTGCTTGTGCAGCGTGCCGAAGTCAGAGCATGTTATCGGTTGCAGGTGCCGGTTGCATGTGAAATGGCACTGTAAGCAGATAGAGTAGCGAGTGTGGCGGATGAGGCTGCATAGACGGAGTGGGCCGTCCCAGTGGAGATATTGACAATGGCAACCCTCCCTGAGTTGGCCCACCCGCGCAAGCCTGTCACGCTGGGGTCTGATAGATTCACGAGAGCATGGAAGATTTCAACGGCTTCGGCATGCAAGTTGTAAGCTTTCGTTCGCTGATCGAGGTGCTGGCAGTCTGTCCGTGCAGATGAATCAGGCGAGTGTGCGCGCGTTCTCCGGTGCGAGTTTTAAGGGTGTGTGTGTGTGGTGAGACAAGGGTAATCGAGGTGATGTGCGTTGTGGGGGCATGTGTGCATGCGGAGTTCGTTCTGCACGAAGGCGCACTCAGTGCCCGCTTTCCTGTCTGGTGTCCGTGGGGAGGAAGAGTGCGACCCTAACACGAGCGTGCACGCCATATCGCATCCCAGTAGGTTCCATGATGGCACGAATGCGTTCTACTGTGTCCCGCTTGAACATGTACTCAGGGTGCTGCCGCTGTTTTATGTCAGCCGTGTGATTGCGAGCTGGCCGGGGATCGAATTCTTGGCAAGTCCGTTCTGCTCTGCGATCCCGTCGGTCAAGATGCGCTGCGAGCTGCGACATGGTACGGGGGCTTTCCCCGGGTGATCTGCCGCGGCGACATTGTCGAGCGCGGCGCGCGCGCGAGCACTGCCGGGCGCGCGGCAGCGCCCCCTGCCAGCCTGAATTGCCAGACTAAGGCCGCGTTGCGAAAGGCCGCAGTCGAGAGAGCCGAGCTTGCGCATGCGCGGCTTCTGGAGTACTGCCCTCGTGTTTTTTTTCGCGGCTGCTTTGCAAAGGCCGGACTTACTTGGGCTGACGCATTGATGGGGGGAACGGGGCCTAGAAGTATGCGCGATGTACATTGAGTCCGCATCGCCGTCGTAAGCATGGGAGGGCCTTTCTCGCAGGAGTGCGCGACGTGCGAGGGGGGAAGGGGAGGGGGGCATTTCAGACAGATGGCGGTCTAGTGGTGAAGAGGGGTCAACGCCATCTCGCGCTGTGCCTGCTAATAGCTTCGAGCGAGTGCTGACGGGAGGATGCGCAGATTCTCAACGATCCGCGCGCGGTGGCTTTTGTCCACGCCAGAAAAGCTGGCGCATGCACTTTGCCCGGTGCGGTTTGGGGCCCATGTGCGGCGCGACTCGGCACGCCCTATGCAGCTAGGCATCCATCGCACATGTGCGCTCGGAGGGAACATTGGATCGGCAGTGATGCGCGCCAGCTTGCGTCGTGCGTGTTCGACTTTGATGGCGGGCGTCAACGCGTCGAGAACGCGCGCAGATCGCTGCGCTTGGGACACACGTTGCAGGGCAGAACGGGGGCGTCGAGCTCGCGGCCTCGTCGAACGCGAGCTGATGCCGTGCGCGCTGCGCCCCCCTGGGGCATGTGGCGGCGGTGCCCGAGCTTGTCTGGCGCTGCAGGCGGCGCTTCGCTCCCCGGGCGCCTCCCGGTGGACGCGCCGAGTTTCCTGTTGCCCGGGGCGAGTCGGGGGCGGCGAAGAGGGGGGTGATGACTAGAGGGTGGTGGATATCGTGGCGGGGGCCATCATATTTCCCCAGCTTTCATGGCGCCTCTTCTTATTCCATGACGTCCCTGGCCCCCCCGCTGGGCCGCGCACGTGCCGCCGGTCATGATGTGCACCCCCCCCCCTCTTGGACACCCCCATCTCAGCCGCTCCCGAGTGAGGGGGCCGGGCCAGAAGGGGAAGAGGGTCGACGCGCAGAGGGGGCGGGGCGGTGGGGGGCTGGCGGCCCAGGTCAGGTCGACATGGCTCGAGATCAGCCACTCGCGCAGCTGGGGGGCTCGCATGGGGGCCGTGGGTCAGCGCGCCACCTTCAGTGTTCTGCAGCAGGACAGCCCAGTCATGCAGGCGAGGGCGAAGCGCACCCCCGAGCATTCCAAGCACGCGATGGACTCAGACGACAATGTGGGATCTGGAGGCGAGAGGTGCGATGGCCATATCCACAGGTCCTGTACGCGATAGCGTCCGCCTTAGAGGGCTAAGCTCGCGGATGCTGCCTCGGTCTCAGCGCAAGTGGCCCTTCGTCGCCTTGAGATATCGATCGGTGGGGTCAGGGGTGGAGGAGGTCAGCCTGTGGGTCAACCCTTGCGCAGTGGCCCAAATCGCGCGTCTGTATTTCAATTTCGGTAGTGTGATGGCGGTGTTGATCGCCCTGGAGTTGGACGGCTGGTTTCGCAGAGCTCAGCATGGGGCTCAGACGGCAAGGGAGTGGGGGGAGGTGCAGCGCGGCCCCTGGGCGCCCCAGCCACGCGCGTGCACGTACACCCTAGGCGATGCTTAAGAAAACTTAAGTTTTCGGCCAGAGTGTCGATTATTCTTAACTTTTCAATGTAAGTCCCAAGATGTTGATAGAAGTTCTGGGTTTTATTCGAGCTGAGACCATGAATTTCTGAACCCATGATTCCTTAAGCATGTCGCAGAGTGTAGGGAGTTCTGCGTCAGCCAATGCCCTTACGGCCAGATTTCTTCGAGGCGCTGGCGGCCAGCAGCATGTGGGGCGAGCGCCCAGGGGGAACGCGGCCAGGCATGCCAAGGGCAGAGGCAGAGGGCGAGGGCGGGGCCCAGGACAACACACAGGAGAAGAGAAGGCCAAGGGACACACATCATAACCACAATTAACCTCACTGTGTTCAAAGAAGACAATAATATACGTTTACTATAGTTTGTTGGTTTTAATGTCATTTCCACTTCACTTTCAGATGGCATTGGGGCATGGGGAAGGGCTCGAAGGAGTGGGGATCCGCCTCGCGGCAATGGCCGACGGACCAGGCGAGGCGCGCGCGCACCGTGCCCCCGCCGCTTGAGGAGACCTCCGAGGGGTCGGCGCCAACGCCCGCGCGACCGCCCGCGGCGGCAGCGGGCTTTGTCGCCGAGTAGGCCTCCTTTGCTCTTCCCTTCTCCTCCTCCTCCTCCTCCTCCTCCCCCTCCTCCTCCTCCTCCTCCTCCTCCTCCTCCTCCTCCTCCTCCTCCTCCTCCTCCTTTGTCGACTGAGGTGCTAGATGACGCCATTACTTTCCTTTGCTCGTCGCCTCCCTTGGCTTGTCTCTCACGCAGTCTGCATGCTGGCAGGCTGCAGCAGCCCAGGGGCCGCCAGCGTGCAGCTGCACGCGCACGCGCAGGCGTCCAGAGGCCGACTGCATCAGGAGTGTGGTCCAAGAAGGGTGCTGGA